AAGGACAACATTCAGGTACTGAGTTCAAGCCCCAGTATCCTCACCCTCTATCCCACTACACACCAGAGACAACATTTAAGCACTGAGTTCAAGCTCCAGTAACACACACAGACACATGCAGACACACACACAGAAACACACCCCACACCTCAGAGACTTTAAAATATTTTAGGATTCACAGGCCAGTTTATTCCATAACTACTTAACTCTGCCACTGTAGCTTAAAGGCAATCTCGACAGTACCAAAATAGGCATAGCCTATGTTGTGATAAAAGTTTATTTACAAAAAAAGGAGGTGGGCTAGGTTGCTCTCATGATTATCCTTTTGAGTATCTCTGATAAGTAAATAAAAATGGGCAAACCTTATCAAGGCTGGCAGAGGGAGAGGAGAGATAAATGTTCAAACAGTAATAGTTCTCAAAAACAATGTCATTCCAATACATTTTTTTTTCCGCTTGTGAGGCTTGAACTCTGGGCCTACACGCTGTCCCTCAGCTCTTCAGCTCAAGGCAAGTGCTCTTACCACTTGAACCACACAGCTCCACTTCCTGGTGGTTTTATTGGAGGTAAGAGTCTCATGGACTTTCCTGCCTGGGCTGGCTTTGAATGGCGATCCTCAGATCTCATCCTCCTGAGTAGCTAGTATTACAAGCATGAGCTATGGGCGTATGGGCGCCCAGCGCCAATTTATTTTTTTTAAAGGAAAGTTACCAAGTGATTCATAAAAGAAATAGACTGCCTTAAAAGTCTATCATTTTTTAAAAATCAACCAAAGGAAATGTCCAGCATTTTTTTCTTCAAGTATTAGAGGCTGAGAGCTATCCACCCAAATCTGAGAGTTCAGAATAAAAAGTATAACTTGCTAACAATGTGCTCAGGTTTGTGGGCTCCCAGATTCTACATTCTTCTTCTCTCAAATTGCTAGATTTTCCCAAAATACTTCAGTTTTGACTTCTCAAGGCTATAGTGGCAACTGATCTAAGCTTGGCAACACTAAGTATTCTATGGGCCTGGGTCCTTACCTTGCTAACCTGTCTGCAGCTTAGTTGCTGCATTTTAAGTTTTTCATTCTCTATGACCTTGCTATTCTCAACTTAAAAAAAAAAAAAATCTCTTGTTATTCATTAAGACCTGAGGCGCACTGCTTACCTAGTTTACCAACAACTATCTGCTTATGTACTTTTGGATAGATGACATATTCTGTCTGCTGGAAATTCTAATTCTTCATTGGGGTTTGTCCCTTAGCATCTGCCCCATCCCATCAACTTACAGTTCTAAGCCTATCATCCCCAACACACTCTTCAAGGTATAACAGCTATAAACTCTTCACCATCTAACTCCTATAAACAAAACTACACGGAGTCAGTCTAAAAGTATAACTGATTCTGCAGCTTTACAAATAAAACTGATGATTCATTCCCTAATTTTTTACTGTGAAGTATAAAATACATTATAAAAACTTAAAGTGTTTACAGGAAGAAAATTTTATGTATTTGTAAGAGTTAAAAAAAATTCAGGTATACAAAGTTTCCTGATTTTTATCTACTAATGACCTACTTATAAAGGTTTGTCTTTAAAGATGAAAAACACTATCCATATCTTCTATATCTTCTATGAAGAAAATTCTCAGAATAGTTAGATTAAGCTGACAGTGAATTAAGACATAGTTTCTTATTTGGAAGCTGTTGATTAAACTAATAGTATTCTTTAATCTTAGAATTTTTTTTTAAATGAAGTCTTTCTCTGATTTAAATAGTTAAATGAAAAACATGCAATATTCTCATAATACTTAAAAGACACATTTAGGGGCAAGAATGTGGCTTAGTAGTAGAGCTTGTCTAGTATCAGGAGCCCTGGGTTCCATTCCTCAGTATCACATAAACAGAAAAAGCTGGAAGTGACATTCTGGCTCAAGTGGTACAGTGCTAGCCTACAAAAGAAACTCAGAGGCAGTGCCCAGGCCCTGATTTCAAGCTCCAGGACTGGCAATAAATAAATAAATAAATAAAGATACATTTAAATAGTACCTTCTTTTAATTCCCTCAGTATTTCAATATTTTCTCCATGGTCTTAGGTACCAGTTTGAAGCAAACTTCTTGAGTCATAAACTTCTAGTGGAAGCTGTATTAGTGGACTAGATTCACAGACTTGAGTTATAAGTGACAAGTGGTCTACGTTAAATTTCAGAAACACAAGCCACATTTTTCATCATCCCATCCCCACACCTCAGCTTACTGGTATTCATTTTGAGAATACCTTTATTTGGGAAAGCCTAGAATGATCTCATTACTTAAATACTATCTGTATCTATTTACCTACAGAAGCAAAGAACCCCTTAGCAAAAGCAAAAAATAATTCTTTTTGAATTTTAAAAGATAGTCTAGGAATTTTTTAATAGTTAAGTTGATTAGGTTTATTGAATCTTTAGAAATACACTTCAATAGAAAACATCATTGAGATTCTACCTCACCCCAGTTAGAATGGCTATAATGAAGAAATCTAGTAATAACAGATGCTGGAGGGGAGGGATATGGCCAGAAGGGAGCCTTACTGCATTATTGGTGGGAGTGGAAACTTGTTCAACCACTTTGGAAAGCAGTATAGAGGTTCCTCAAAAGACTCCACATAGAGCTCCCCTATGGCCCAGCAATCCCACTTTTGGGCATTTACCCAAATGTTCACAAACAAGACCATACTAAAGCTACCAGCACAACTATGTTTATTGCAGCATTATTTACCATAGCTAAGATATGGAACCAACCCAGTTGCCCCTCAGTAGATGAATGGATCAAGAAAATGTGGTATCTATACACAATGGAATTCTATGCCTCCATCAGAAAGAATGGCATTGCCCCATTTGTTAGGAAATGGAAAGACTTGGAAAAAATTATATTAAGTGTAAGCCAGGCCCAAAGAAACATAGGTCCCATGGTTTCCCTTATTTTCAATAACTAGTATATGTCTGAGACAAGCAGAAAAGGTCAGAACTATGTACATATATGACCATATAAGATGTTAAATGAAATGAACCCCAAGATATGGACACAAGTGGTTTTCTCTTTCTTGCTATTGTTTTTAACATATTTAAAATGTACTATGTGATTTTTTTTTTTGTTGTTTCTCTTGCATGTTCTTCCCCCATGGGATAACCCCAATTGTCACTGTATTTGATTCTGGTTCCTTGCATCTTGTATATACATTTTTCTAATTTGGGGAAGGGAAGGGAAATAACAAAATGCTGAAATAAGGATACAGGCTGACCCATTGTAACAATGAGATGTACAAGACACTATGCTGAAAATGAACTTTATGGGCTGGGAAGGTGGTTCAGTGGTAGTGCGCTTGCCTTGTATGCCTGAGGCCCTGGGTTCGATTCCTCAGCACCACATAAGCAAAATGAAAATAGCCAGAAGTGGCGCTGTGGCTCAAGTGGTAGAGCACTAGCCTTGAGCTGAAGAGCTAAGGGACAGTGCCCAGGCCCAGAGTTCAGGCCCCACGACTGGACTCCTCCCCCCCCCCAAAAAAAGATGAAAATGAACTTTACAACTTGTGGCGGGGGGGGGGGGGGGGGGGGGCAGGTTTGAGAAGTGAGGAGGTAAGGGATGACAGGGGAAAAACAAAGGAGGTAACAATGCTTGATACGAAATGTACTCATTACCTTACTCATGTAACTGTAACTCCTTTGTACAGTATTTGTACAACAAAAAAAACATAAAAAGACAAATATACTAGACAAATACACTTTGATAGAAATACAGGCCTTTTGAATCAACTTTTATGTTTTATCTGTATGTTGGACAAACTAACTAAAAACTCAATTACAGTATGATACTAAAATCACCAATACATTTTGCCTTTTGCTTTCTCTTAATAACAGTCACATTGTAGCATTTTTCCAAGGCTCCTCCATTGGCTAACCTGCATTATAATGCTAACCATGCATTCCAGATCTACTCAGAGGTTCTTGGAGTTATTATGTAGCAATAATGATACATAATTGCAAGTAACAGAAAATAGATCAAGTCAGAATTACAATGATGACTGAAGTTATTCTTGCTGGTCAGTTCTCTGATCTTAACCTAAAGTATTCATATCTAAAACCATTTATTGTAAAGAACAGATCGCAAAATTGCTGAAACCAATAATAATATATAAAATCAGATAGTGATAGTCATTAAAAAATGAGGTTTTTCATGTTAAGAGTAGAAATCCAGAAGAAAAGTTCTGATGTTAAACTACTGCTCTCAACTTCAACATTTTTTCTGAAAATTTATTCCCTTTTTCTAAAGCATATATGGACATAAAAAAACTATCAAATGATCTTGTTTTACTTCTGAAAATATATTTTCTAAGTACCTACTGGGTACATTAGACTCAGGATAAAAGGTAACTAAGACCTCAAAGAAATTCAAAGTACACTGCAAGGGACAGATTAGGATAAAAGTAAGTACAATAAAGTGTGCCAAAGTTACTGTGATGCAAGTTTATAAGGGAATAAAAATTCCAATGACTTAGAAGGAAAGAGAACAGAAAACAATCCTATGCTCGAGCTGAATTTTAAAGATGGGACAGCCACAAACAAAGTAAATACAAAAGTTTATACATTCATATACAAGGTATGCATACAACACATATAATATATATATATATATAAACATATAATACACATATATACATAAACGAACTTAAGCAGGATGTTTCTGGATAGTGTTAAACTTCCTCACAAGTGCAGAGTTTATGCTATCACTGCTTAACTTCTGACATTTTTTCTAAATCACCTTACCCTGCCTGTAGTTTCAAAGCTCAAACTCATTTGAGTCCAATACAAAATAACCCTAACACAATAAGCAGACTCTTTCCACAAGAGTTGTAAGTACACTTAAATGTTTTAAAACGGTTTACAGGAAGCCTATCTCCATTCCTACAAATTGCTATCAAAGTCAACTTTACGAAGTAGCAACATACCATATAAATAAAGAAAAAATTCTGTTTCTTCTTACCTCATGAAGTGTGAGGTGTTTTCCATCCTTTCTCTTTGAGTCAAATCTGCCATATATTGCACTGTATTTTCGAATTTCTTCCTCTTTGTGTGGATCATCATCACTCATTTCAAAGATGTGACCGATCATTTTGGCCAGCTTCTTGTTGGTTTTTAGCAGCTCTCTGACTTCGCTCAAGTCACTTTTCGGCAGTGTGGGTGCCAATCTCTCTACACACTCAGCCACAGACAGTGCAGCGGCAGCATCTAGTGCCTCACTGCTTTCCTTTGGGGAAGCTGGGGAGCCAAGGTCTGCTGGGGAAAGACTATGTTCACTCTCAGTAGCATGGTGTCCTTGCCAGAGTCTGGAATCACCAACACTCTGCAGTGCTAGGCTCCCTACATCTGATTTCCCCTGTCCCAGACTCTGCACACAGGTGGTGGCAGCACATTTGGGGATTTTTAAATGAGGTTCCCGGGCATTGCTATTCCTTTCATAACTACTGCAGGATATTCCCAGCCATGTGGGTGATCCCTCAGGTAATTTATAGATGGGTATGCTACTGACAGGAAGGGAAGTCAGTGGCTGATTGAAAAGACCAGGATTTGTAACCCAGTCTCTCAACGCCTTCTGTAGCCTTCTAACATGAAGGGGCTTGCTAGCCATGCCCACAAGTGCCATGATTTCTAAAAATTCCTCTTCTCCAGCTTCACAGAGTTGCTGAACATCATCACCACCTTGTTGGATAAAGGCATCAAAATAAGAAAGCAGATTGGCTTTTTGAAGTATCCTATACAGCTGCAACTCCCCCAGGGTCCTGGGTAAGGCTGAGGCCATTACTGTGGATGGCTTTAACCTACAAAAAGAACAGAAGAAAAACCCATCACACTTGCTTCAAACTTCTTAAGCTAAATACGTTAGACACCATAGGGTTAGGAATACAGCAAAGGAAGAACAAAAACAAGTGGTTGTTAAGAAAATATTCTTCCTGGGCTGGGAAGGTGGCTCAGTGGTAGAGCACTTGCCTTGCATGCATGAAGCCCTGGGTTCGATTCCCCAGCAGCACATAAGCAAAAAGAAAAAAGCTAGAAGAGGTGCTGTGGCTGAAGTGGTAGAGCGCTAGCCTTGAGCTGAAGAGCTGAGGGACAGCGCCCAGGCCCAGAGTTCAGGCCCCAGGACCGGACCCAAAAAAATAAAAATAAAAATAAAAAATAAATTAAAAAAAGGAAAATATTCTTCCTATATACATATTTTATGTCATTTTGAACTTCTAACAATTTTAAAAGTCAATAACTAAACTGACTTATTTTACCTATATGAGAAAAGCTAGTAAGATTAAAACTAAGCAGATTGAAGACAGAACCAAGGCCCATAGGGATCTATATTCCATAGTTTCAGCTATATACTTTTCTGTTTCTCTAGTATTAGACATAGTGGTGGAGTGAACATAATCAAATTAGCAGGAAATGAAAAGTGTGTTATCATTCACTGCTTATTTAGTTCCATATGATATAACACTTTATATCACACATACTATGCTTAATCCTTATAATAGCCAACTATGTAAAAAAACTAGACTTAGTATCATGTATATATCATACAAAGAAAAATTGGCAAGATTAATAAGTAAAAATAGATTTTTGTATGAACTGAAGAAAATGGGTGACGTATTTGAGAATTTTAAAAATGATGCAGCAACCTCAGGAGTTGTGATCACTCAGGTGTCAGTGATAAGAAGAAGAGACTATAGTTACTATTTTCTAACACTTTCTATGATTTGGGGAAGAGAAGAGTTTTATATGATTGTGGGATTGCATAGCTAAGAATCTGGGACTATGACAGATATAATATAGAAAAATTAAAAATACTAGGATTTCCTTTAAAAGGAATGTCACCCAAACACAGCAAACAAAATGCTTACACAGAACTACCCTACATGTGAAATAGCAGACTGAGATCTATCTATCAGAGATAGATCAGGTTATCTATCAGAGACAAAGATACAGAATGAAATCTGAAGTGTGGACAAGCCCTCTATGGCAGCAGCAGAGGGAACAAGGCAAAGTCACAGAAGAAATACACTTATACAGTCTAAGCAAGATAGAAAATCTTGTTTTAAAAGAGACCAAACAAGATCCAGTAAAGTACTTGACCTCTTAGCAGCCTTTAAAAATTGTTTGTAGTTGCCTAGAGATTTCCCACAGAAAAAGAACAGTTGGCCAAATACTTCCATTTAAGAAAAACAAACTTGTCTAATCAATGCACTCTTCAGATTAAAAGGACCTTGTATCCCTCAATGGATAAAATTACAGAAGGCCAGAAAAAATACACACATCAAAGAAAAGCAGAAACCTCATTCTCAGCTCAATACAGAGCAACAGTCAACTGGAACACAAAGCAAGCAGAACAACTCTCACATCCAATGCCACCAGATAGAGTGCTACACAAGAGCCTAACCTTGGTTACCCCAATCAAGGAGAATAGGTCTTCCTATCATTCTAAGACTAATTACTAGGAAGCTTTATCTCCTGTAATCTTGAAATCTTTGTGTCATCTGCAATCTGTTCTAACCAGACAGTGACAGCCTTAAAGTCTTATGGCATGGACTAGTATGATTATGGCCTGATGACTTTCTAAGAAACACACAAAAAAGATTTAACTTGTGTCCAGCAACTTCTGTCAACACTCAGGGAATCACCTCAGGTGCTTTTGAAAAAGTTTCCCAAGTCCCTGAGCTACATTCAGTAGGCTATCAGGACTGGCATATACAGCAAACTACACAAGACTTCCTATTATGATATACCCCAGGCAACACAAACCTGAACACAGACAACACAAACTTGTTCAACCACTCTAGAAAGCAGCATGGAGGTTCTTCAAAAGATTAAACACAGAGCTTCTCTATAGCCCAGTAATTCCACTCCTAAGCATTTACCCAATTGGTCACAAATCAAGGCACACTAAAGCTACCAGCACAACCATGTTCATCACAGCATTGTTTACCATAGTCAAGATATGGAGTCAACCCAGATATGGAGTCAAGATATGGATCAAGAAATATGGTAAATATACACAATGGAATTCTATGCTTCCATAAGAAAGAATGACATTGCACAATTCGTAAGGAAACAGAAAGATTTGACAAAAATTATATTAAGCGAAGTAAGCCAGACCCAAAGAAAGATTGCATGGTTTCCCTCATTTGTAGTAATTAGAATGTTTCTATAAATCTACAAGTAAACACATGGATGGTAAAAGTCAAAAAATTACCCTTGGACTGATAAATCAAACAAGACTGAGTGAGACCAAAGGAGGATATTTTTAGTAGAGGATCACAAGGGCATGTGATCATATGAAACGTTTATCAAAATGAACTCCAAGAAATGGAAACAGTGTTTGTTTGTTTTTTGTGGTGGTTTTGTGGGTTTTTTTTCACCTTTTGTCACTTTTTTATTTCTGTACTTTTTGTCTTGCATGTAAGTTTATCTGTTTTGGGGAGGGTAAAGGGAAGCACAGAAATGGTGAGATAAAAGGTGAACTAATTCAGCAATGATACTCACTAGATGATATGTTGAAATGAACTAGACAACTTGTGATAGAGGAGGGTGAGAGGTACAATGGAGAGAAGAGGTGACATTGTTCAAAAAGAAATGTACTTATTACCTGACCTATGTAACTGTAACCCCTCTGTACATTACCTTTACATTAAAAAAAAAATCCTACTTGGGATACTGTATACTCCAGCCAACACAAACTCTACAGGTTTATGATTACCTTCATGTTCATACCACCCCTTCTTCTGTCTTGTAAATTGCCTAAGTGAGTACCATCTTATTTCTATATCTCTGCCCCACTCACTATTGTCTCTGTTTTGTGGCACTGTGGATTAAATCAGGGCTTTGTGCCAGGAGATGCATGCTAACCAAGAACCCTATCAGAGAATCCCAATTTTAAGACTCTATAAGCTGCAGAATATAACACAAAGGCTTCCAGAGAGTGTCTGAGGTGAAAGATAAACTCTCTTACCACACCAAATGCACTCTTCACATGCTTCAACTAGCATATAAAAATGTTAAACATAAATATGCACATATAAATACACATACTCATTTTCATAAAAGGACTGTAATTTTGTAAAATCTGTGGAATAACCAACTCCCTATATTTACTCCCCATATTATGGAATACAGGAAACAGATTTTTTATCTTATGAACAATTAGGAAAAAAAGTATATGTGTGTGTGTGTGTGTAGACAACAGAAACTTAAGGTAAATTAAAATAGCTAAATTATAGCAATGATTTTACAAAGTAATAATTTTCAAGCCTTATCCATTCTCTATCCTATCTAGAAAATGAACCTCTCAAGTTTTTTAAGACAAAGCCCTCATAGTCTGGTAAATGGTTATGAATTAACAGGAATGTCAAGATTAAGTGTAAATTTTCAAAGTCAAGAAACATATGAAAGACAAGGCAACTATTCAGAGTCCCAGGAGGTTTTCTAAAGGCTTACACTGCTCAGATTTCTAAGATTCTGCATTAGTAAGATATTTTAGTTTCCTTCCAAATCCTGCTGTAATAATTTAAATACCCATCACCTCATACATTAACTTGATTTAATATAAAAGAAAAATTTTATGGGAGTTTTTGTTTTCACTAAATCTGTAACAATTGATGCTTCAACATGAAAGCCAGATATATACACTGGTACCTTACAGTATACTGTCTACTCTTCTGAAAACTATTGCTACCTAACTTTTCCAACATATACTAAGCACCATGCTGAGTCTGACCTTTTCATGAATTCCACAGTTCAGAAAAACCAGTTACTCATTCTTGTGTCCGAAAGATAACCTGAGGCATTGTTGCCCCTGTACAGCAAACATCTATTTACAATCACTTAAATGTTTGTCACTCTGATCAATCCAGAAGAGAAATTTAAAAAAAAAAAAAAAAAAGTCTGGGGCTGAGAAGGTGGCTCAGTGGGATAGTGCTTGCCTTGCATGCATGAGGCCCTGGGTTCCATTCCTCAGCACCACATAAGCAGAAAAAGCTGGAAGTGGCACTGTGACTCAAGTGGTAGAGCACTACCCTTGAGGTGAAGAGGTGAGGGACAGCGCCCAGGCCCACAGTTCAGGCCCCATGACCGACAAAAAACAAAAACAATTTGTTTTTTCCCTTCCCCTCCACAAATTATACCAACATCAAATACAGTGAAAGCATGGGTTATACCGTGGGGGAGGGACATACAAAGCAACATAGAAATCATCTTATAAATATGTTAGAAACAATTGCATGAAAGGAAAAAAAAAACAAAAAAACATTTGAATACTTATCTTGGGGTTCATTCCCCTAACATGAACTTATCTGACCTTTTCTGCTTGACTCAGACATATACTAGTTATTGTAAATAAGGGAAACCATGGGACCTATGTGGACCCATTGCAACAATGAAATGTACAAGTCCTTATGTTGAAAAACAAACTTTAAACTTTGGTGGGGGGTAGGGGGAGGATTGAGTGTAGGGAGGGGGGAAGTATGGGAAGGGATGGAAAGGGGAAACAAAGAAATGTACCCATTATCTTGCCCATGTAATTGTAACTCCTCTGTACGGTATTCTCACAATAAAAAATAAATAAAATTAAAAAAAAATAAAAACAAAAAAAAAATAAAAAAACTCCACTTGTTCTTTTTCACTACTTTAAATAATGATTAATCCTAAAACCTTAAACAAGATATCTTATTCTAACTCCTTATAAGGATAACATAAATCATCTTACAGATTCAACCTATCCTGAAATAAGATTCTACGTGACCTGAGCTGCTTGTTAGGGAAACAAGGTTTTTCTGACATTCTC